TAACGCGGAGTTCGGCGATCCACGTGGGAGCCAGCGTGACCGCTTCCTTTAAAATTACCCTATTCGCTAAACTTTCAACCGACACACGACGACCGATACACACGGCGCCGCTCGGGTAAATCTCCCGTCGCTCGCACTTTGGAGCGATGCCAATCGCCCGTCGCTTGTGCACATTGCAAGAGCGACTGCATCGCGCGATGCAATCGCAGAGTCTGACCGACATCTAAAACGAAAATGCGCAAAGTAGTGTTCGAGTTCGACGGCCAAAAGTCGTGAGATGACGTATTGCAAAATATGGTCTTTTGCTCTTTCGGCAGGTAGTCAGAAAAACATGGTCCTTAGAGAGGGCATTCAAATCAGGGCTGATGGTAAGTGACACTGGACTAAATCCCTAACGTAAGAGGAAAAGTACGTCAGGGAGAGCCAAGGTACTCATATTTTCCTTCAGAATCCCTTCCCTCCCTAAGCTTAGCCAGTACCAAATACAGTAACCGGCGTGTAGCAAACGTGCCTGCTTAGCCAAGGTCCGGGATTTCTGGTAGAATTTTCTTTGGTTTTTTTTTTGGGGGGGGGGAATGCGGCGCTATGCAAGTGAAAAGCATGATCCAGCATGAGGTGTAGAATTGACGCCGCTCAAAATCGCTGACCCCGCCACAAATCAGTTCATTTCGCTCCACTGCTACTGAAGATGGAGGGTTAGTTTTCTCCCATAAAGGAAGCGATTACGATAAGGAATTTTCGCATCGGGGGAGAACCTGCGCCACACGGAGCAATTACTTGGCTGCCAAGGAAGCGATGTGTGGCCCTCCCACGGCGAAAGGTGCTGTGGTTGCTGAGCAGGACCCGCGTGACGCCCCGCCCCCAGTGACGTGACGCCCACTAGTTTTGTTGATGATCTGGATGGACTGTTTGCTGTTGGCTTTTCATTTTGGATGATCATTTCCCTTCTAGCGGCTGTATCTTCCAACTTGCCCACGTATTGCCTTATCAATCAAAACACTATGCTTGTTGGCATGATGGCTATCGGGGTTAACACGTCCGAACAACGTCGTTCTTTACCGTCGCTCATCCATGGTCGAAAATGAAAGGGCAATCAAAGGGGTACTATTTTGCTTATTTTTGACGGATTTCTTTGCTTTTTTCGCCATTGGCGTACTATTGAGACCCCCACGTCCCCTCTAAACCCCTTTGAGATCTATCGTAATCGCTGTTTTTAATTAGTTTCTTCCAATTTTTCATCACTGGCGTTACACTTCACAACTTCGCTGTCAATTACAGCACAATAATACATCAGCTCGATTCCGCACTTTGCCATTAAGAACGCTCCGCCTTCTCTAAGCTCCCTGAGCGAACCTCCTGGACGTCGCGCGTCCCAAAAATCTCTCCCAGTAGCAAGTGAGTGATAGATCGACGACTAAAAACGGCTTCAGCATCCAGGAGAAAAGAATGATATAGGTAAAGTTAGCATAAAAGTCAAAAAATACTATAGCCAGTAAAAGGCAAACGAAGCCGAATTCGTAACCCTGAAGAGATCATGAGTTGCCACAATTTGCGCGCGCTCGCAGGTTTGATAAAATAGAACACATTGTTTGAAGCCATGAAGTAACAAAAGAACGTCGCAACGTACCATCGATAACTGTATCGAATGTTGCGCCCATTATGATTTGTGAATAGACCACACAGCAAAGAAGCAGGATGAACTGAGCAAGAATGACGAACGGTTGGTAGCCTTCGGAATTGAACCAGCTCTAAACTCACAGCTATTAGTATTTGACGTACGCTACTCGCCCTGGAACTTTGAAAATTCACGCGGAAAACGCGATTTCGAGTTTTCAGTTTTTGTTATAATTCGGTTTAGCGAGTTTTTCCGGTTTAATTTCCAAGATGAAGTACCTGCGAGCCTATCTCGTCGAGGCTCCACGGTGTTTGAAAGAACATCTAGGAAGCAGCCACGCCACTCGAGTTCACACGAACCGAGAATAATTTTTGTGTGATGCCTGTGTGCATACCTGAGGTTCGATAAGAAGTGGCTATCAACACATCGCCCCATGACGCGCTATGTGCTTGCTCACCCCTCCATGAATAACTTTTAATCCGATTTTTCTTCAAATCGCAAGATCTTTGCTTCAATTTTGATGCACTGATGAACCTACTTGAGTCCCCTGCGCCAACGTCCGCTTCTCTAAGGTGCACATGAGTAATCTCGACTGTTTCCAGAGATTCCAGAAGCCTACTTTGTTAATTTCCCGATTTCTAAAGAATAGCCATCGAAATCGATTGGAGAGGGGAGCGAAGAAAAATCTCTCCAAGCGTCTTGACTACGGCTGCGTGCGTGTAAAAGAAGCCGAAAACATGTGTTGCCGCTACCCCGCGGCATGCCCCTACTGTGAGCTGATAGATGTTTACTTCCCCAGTACGAACTAACAAAGCTGATTTACTTGAACTGCTATCGAATGATATATAAAACAGCACACAATCAAAAGTTTTTCCACCGTTTTTGACCGTCGCCTTACTGCCGATCGAATTTCCTGTCCCTTGACGACCACATGCAATACACAAACGACGATTACAATGGAAGGCCATAGGCCGTACGAGCTCTCATGCACTGCGTATATGAAACGCACGTGATCTTCAAGGGCCAGGAAAGTTGGGTCGACCGTGCGATGCGCAAATTTCATGATTTTGCGATCCCCTCACCCTTCCCCTTTCAGTGGGTATCAGTATTACCTCCTTGTACCAGCTATTCATGTTAAAAGGAAACCACTAAAGGAGAATGAAATATCGAGAACGCTCACCAATCCACTGACGATAAAATGCGAACACGTGGCCACAATCGCTGGAAGTGCCCATAGCTTCCCTTTTTGCACTCTGTGACAAGAATCCCAAATCTAGAAATACGAGAGCAATCATGCTTGATAACTAAGACACGTCCTGAACTGGATCTCCATTCATAATTGCGGGAATCTGTTTAACACGATTCAATAATTAATGCCTTGTTTACATCAACCGGTGAAGAAAGAAAAAGCTGATTGATTAGGATAGTCTGATACACGAACAATGTGAAGGGCCTGAGTGGGTCTAATTTTTCATAACTCTACACTTTATCTTCGTTGCGTCAAACACTGACGAAGCAATTGATGGTATCAATTAGCAACAGCATGGATCATGTATCTGTCTCCTTTTTACAATCTTTACAAATATTAAGCCGAGGGATGCATTATTCAAACGACAACATTTTCTAAGAAAAAGGAACGATTTCGCCTAAAAAAGAAAGCCTCGAACTTGGTAATCCTCACCATTATCGTCCACACAACGCCGAATAAGCTAGCTAAGCAACCTGTCAGAGCATAGTAGAGAGGAAGATATGGACCGGCGTAAAACATGTCGCGTTTATTCTCCTAAATAAATTACTCACTAAACGTGGCTGCAGTAGTGGGAAGCAGGGGGATCGTAGTCCCAAACATAAAATCACGTACTTTGACAGCTCGTGGAAGGCCAATTGTAGCCGGCCCAGCAAACTCAGCGAACACGTTCATTGTTAGAAACAAAGCAGCCATCACACCCATGCCAAGACCGCAGACCTTCAATGTGGATCAATCCTTCAAGTTCAAGCATAGAGACTGCTACTCAAAAGTGAATAAAAGAGAAATGGCTACAGGAAACGCAAACAAGGCTGAGAACATTAACCCATATCTATGACTCGATGGAACGGATGAGAATTGGCAAGACAAAGAAGGAGCGAAAAACAAATGGATGCGCGACATCATTGGTAAAATTTAAGTCAGTTCAAAATATACGTAAATAATTGCCAGAGCAGGAAAGGAAAAATGATAAGTAAAAAATATCGGTAGCGTTTGAAAAGTAGAGAAAACAAAGCTAGTATAAATAAAAAGACAAATGCAACAAAGTGAGTAAATTCTGAAGTGTGTAAACTAACCAAAGCAAGCATATGCCTAGCGTTGTGAAGATCAGAAACGCCTGGAGCTATTGAA